GACTTCCATAGGATTCAGTGTTAATCAGTGAGACTCCCACAGGGTTCAGTGTTATCAGTGAGACCCACAGGGTTCAGTGTTAATCAGTGAGACTCCCATAGGGTTCAGTGTTAATCAGTGAGACTCCCACAGGGTTCAGTGTTAATCAATGAAACTCCCACAGGGTTCAGTGTTAATCTCTGAGACTCCCATAGGGTTCAGTGTTAATCAGTGAACTCCCACAGGGTTCAGTGTTAATCAGTGAGACTCCCACAGGGTTCAGTGTTAAGCAGTGAAACTCACCCCCTCCCACCCCCCCTACCCCCCCCCTCCCCCAACCCTCCTCACCCTCCTCACCAGGTGAGGACCGCTGGCTCTGCACCCTGATGCTCCAGCAAGGCTGGCGAGTGGAGTACTGCGCCGGGTCGGACGCCCGAACCAACGCGCCCGAGGACTTCCGGGAGTTCTTCAACCAGCGTCGCCGCTGGGGGCCCTCGACGCTGGCCAACACCCTGGACATCCTGGAGAGTGGCGGGCGGACAGCCAGGCGCAACGCCTCCATCTCTCGCCTCTACATCCTCTACCAGATTGTCTACATGGCGGCCTCCATAATGGCCCCGCAACTGTCTGTCTGATGATCGCCGGTTCGTTCGCTCGTGGTGTGGTGTGGGGTGGGGTGGTGGTGTGGTGGTGAGGGTGGTGGTGGTGGTGGTGGTGGTGGTGGTGGTGGTGGTGGTGGTGGTGGTGGTGGTGTGAGTGTGGTGGTGGTGGTGGTGAGGACGAGGGTGGTGGTGATGGAGGATTGATTGATGATGTTGAGGATGGAGGGTGGTTGGTGGTGATGATGATGGGTGGTGGTGGTGAGGGTGAGGGTGGTGATGGTGTGGTGGTGGATTGATTGATTGATGATGTTGAGGATGGAGGTGTGATGATAGAGGGTTGATTGATTGATGATGATGTTGAGTATGATGATGATGCTGGAGTGTTGGTGGTGGTGATGGTGATGATGATGATGGGTTGGTGGTGTTGATAATGGTGGTGGTGATGGGATAATGTTGGGGTGATGGATAATGGTGTTGGTGGTGGTGGTGGTGTTGATGATGGTGGTGGTGGTGGTGGTGATGGTGATGGTGGTGGACATCCTGGAGAGTGGCGCGGCGGACAGCCAGGCGCAACGCCTCCATCTCTCGCCTCTACATCCTCTACCATTGTCTACATGGCGGCCTCCATAATGGGCCCTGCAACTGTCTGTCTGATGATCGCCGGTTCGTTCACTCGTGGTGATGATGGTAGTGGGGTGGTGGTGGTGATGGAGGATTGAGATGATGATGTTGAGGATGGAGGTTTGATGATAGAGGGTTGATTGATTGATGATGATGTTGAGTATGATGGTGATGCTGGAGTGTTGGTGGTGGTAATGGTGATGATGATGGGTTGGTGGTGGTGGTCTTGATGATGGTGGTGGTGGAGGTGGTGATGGTGGTGGTGGAGGATTGATTGATGATGTTGAGGATGGAGGGTTGGTGTGGTGATGATGATGATGGTGGTGGTGGTGGATAGAGGGATGATTGATTGATGATGTTGAGGATGGAGGTGTGATGATAGAGGGTTGATGATTGATGCTGATGTTGAGTATGATGATGATGCTGAGTGTTGGTGGTGATGATGGTGATGATGATGATGAGGGTTGGTGGTGTTGATGATGATGGTGGTGTTGGTGATGGTGGTTGTTGGTGGTGGTGGTGTTGATGGTGATGGGGTGGTGGACATCCTGGAGAGTGGCGCGGCGGACAGCCAGGCGCAACGCCTCCATCTCTCGCCTCTACATCCTCTACCAGATTGTCTACATGGCGGCCTCCATAATGGGCCCCGCAACTGTCTGTCTGATGATCGCCGTGTTCGTTCGCTCGTGGTGGTGGTGGTGGTGATAGTGGGTGGTGGTGGGGGTGGTGGTGATGGAGGTGGTGGTGGTGGTGGTGGTGGTAGTGGTGGTGTTGGTGGTGGTGGTGGTGGAGGATTGATTGGTGATGATTGAGGATGGAGGTTTGATGATAGAGGGTGATTGATTGATGTTGAGTATGATGATGATGATGCTGGAAAGTTGTTGGTGGTGATGATGATGATGGGTTGGTAGTGGTGGTGGTGGTGATGGAGGATTGATTGATGATGTTGAGGATGGAGGTTTGATGATAGAGGTTGATTGATTGATGTTGAGTATGATGATGATGATGGATAGTTGGTGGTGGTGGTGATGATGATGGGTTGGTAGTGGTGGTGGTGATGGAGGATTGATTGATGATGTTGAGGATGGAGGGTTGGTGGTGGTGGTGGTGATAGAGGGATGATTGATTGATGATGTTGAGTATGATGATGATGCTGGATGTTGGTGTGGTGATGATGATGATGATGGTTGGTGGTGGTGGTCTTGATGATGATGATGGTGGTGGTGGTGATGGTGGTGGTGGTGGTGGGTGATGGTGTTTGATGGTGATGGTGGTGGTGGTGGGTATGGTGGTTGGTGGTGTGGTGGTGGACATCCTGGAGAGTGGCGGGCGGACAGCCAGGCGCAACGCCTCCATCTCTCGCCTCTACATCCTCTACCAGATTGTCTACATGGCGGCCTCCATAATGGGCCCTGCAACTGTCTGTCTGATGATCGCCGGTTCGTTCGCTCGTGGTGGTGGTGGGTGGTGGAGGTGGTGGTGGTGATGGAGGATTGATTGATGATGTTGAGGATGGAGGTTTGATGATAGAGGGTTGATTGATGATGTTGAGTCTGATGATGATGCTGGAAAGTTGTTGGTGGTGATGATGATGGGTTGGTAGTGGTGGTATTGATGATGGTGGTGGTGGTGGAGGTGGTGATGGTGGTGATGGAGGATTGTGATGATGATGTTGAGGATGGAGGGTTGGTGGTGGTGATGATGATGATGATGCTGGAGTGTTGGTGGTGGTGATGATGGTGATGATGATGATGGGTTGGTGGTGTGATAATGGTGGTGGTGATGGTGGTTGGTGGTGGTGATGGGATAATGGTGTTGGTGGTGGTGGTAGTGGTGGTGGTGGTGGTGGTGGTGGTGTTGATGGTGGTGGTGGTGGTGGACATCCTGGAGAGCGGCGGGGGACAGCCAGGCACAACGCCTCCATCTCTCGCCTCTACATCCTCTACCAGATTGTCTACATGGCGGCCTCCATAATGGGCCCCGCAACTGTCTGTCTGATGATCGCCGGTTCGTTCGCTCGTGGTGATGATGGTAGTGGAGGTGGTCGTGGTGGTGAGGGTGGTGGTGGTGGTGGTGGATTGATTGATTGATGATGTTGAGGATGGAGGTTTGATGATAGAGGGTTGATTGATTGATGTTGAGTATGATGATGATGATGGAAGTTGGTGGTGGTGGTGATGATGGGTTGGTAGTGGTGGTGGTGGTGGTGGTGATGGAGGATTGATTGATGATGTTGAGGATGGAGGTTGGTGGTGGTGATGATGGTGGTGGTGGTGGTGAGAGGGATGATTGATTGATGATGTTGAGTATGATGATGATGCTGGAGTGTTGGGGTGATGATGGTGATGATGATGATGGGTTGGTGGTGTTGATGATGCTGGTGGTGTTGGTGATGGTGGTTGTTGGTGGTGTTGATGATGGTGGTGGTGGTGGTTGGTGGTGGTGGTGGACATCCTGGAGAGTGGCGGGCGGACAGCCAGGCGCAACGCCTCCATCTCTCGCCTCTACATCCTCTACCAGATTGTCTACATGGCGGCCTCCATAATGGGCCCGCAACTGTCTGTCTGATGATCGCCGGTTCGTTCGCTCGTGTGGTGGTGGGTGGTGAGGGGTGGGTGGTGGTGGTGAGGGTGGTGGTGGTGATGGAGGATGATTGATGATGTTGAGGATGGAGTTTTGATGATAGAGGGTTGATTGATTGATGATGATGTTGAGTATGATGATGATGATGCTGGAGTGTTGGTGGTGGTAATGGTGATGATGATGGGTTGGTGGTGTGGTCTTGATGATGGTGGTGGTGGTGGAGGTGGTGATGGTGGTGGTGAGGATTGATTGATGATGTTGAGGATGGAGGGTTGGTGGTGTGATGATGGGTGGTGGTGGTGATAGAGGATGATTGATTGATGATGTTGAGTATGATGATGATGGCTGGAGTGTTGGTGTGTGTGGTGGTGGTGGACATCCTGGAGAGTGGCGGGCGGACAGCCAGGCGCAACGCCTCCATCTCTCGCCTCTACATCCTCTACCAGATTGTCTACATGGCGGCCTCCATAATGGGCCCCGCAACTGTCTGTCTGATGATCGCCGGTTCATTCGCTCGTGGTGGTGGTGGTGGTGATAGTGGGTGGTGGTGGGTGGTGAGGTGATGGTGGTGTGGTGGTGGTGATGGAGGATTGATTGATGATGTTGAGGATGGAGGGTTGGTGGTGGTGATGATGGTGGTGGTGGTGATAGAGGGATGATTCATTGATGATGTTGAGTATGATGATGATGCCGGATAGTTGGTGGTGGTGATGATGATGATGATGGTTGGTGGTGGTGGTCTTGATGATGATGATGGTGGTGGTGATGGTGATGGTGGAGGTGGTGGTGGGGGGTGGTGGTGGTGGTGATGGAGGATTGATTGATGATGTTGAGGATGGAGGGTTGGTGGTGGTGATGATGATGATGGTGGTGGTGGTGATAGAGGGATGATTGTGATGATGTTGAGGAGGAGTTTTGATGATAGCGAGGGTTGATTGATTGATGATGATGTTGAGTATGATGATGATGCTGGAGTGTTGGTGGTGATGATGGTGATGATGATGATGGGTTGGTGGTGTTGATGATGTTGGTGGTGGTGGAGGTGGTGATGGTGGTGGTGGAGGATTGATTGATGATGTTGAGGATGGAGGGTTGGTGGTGGTGATGATGATGGTGGGTGGTGTGGTGATAGAGGGATGATTGATTGATGATGTTGAGTATGATGATGATGATGCTGGAGTGGTGGTGGTGATGATGATGGTGGTGATGGTGATGGACATCCTGGAGAGCGGCGGGCGGACAGCCAGGCGCAACGCCTCCATCTCTCGCCTCTACATCCTCTACCAGATTGTCTACATGGCGGCCTCCATAATGGGCCCCGCAACTGTCTGTCTGATGATCGCCGGTTCGTTCGCTCGTGGTGGTGGTGGGTGGTGGTGGTGGGTGGTGGTGGTGGTGAGGGTGAGGGTGGTGGTGAGGGTGGTGGTGGGGGTGGTGGGTCGTGGTGGTAAGGGTTGTGGTGGTGAGGGTGGTGGTGGGGGTGGTGGTGGTGGTGGTGAGGGTGAGGGTGGTGGTGGTGGTGGATTGATGATGTTGAGGATGGAGTTTTGATGATAGAGGGTTGATTGATTGATGATGATGTTGAGTATGATGATGATGATGATGATGGAGTGTTGGTGGTGGTAATGGTGATGATGATGGGTTGGTGGTGGTGGTCTTGATGATGGTGGTGGTGGTGGAGGTGGTGATGGTGGTGGTGGAGGATTGATTGATGATGTTGAGGATGGAGTGTTGGTGGTGGTGATGATGATGGTGGTGGTGGTGATGATAGAGGGAGGATTGATTAATGATGTTGAGGATGGAGGTGTGATGATAGAGGGTTGAATGATTGATGATGATGTTGAGTATGATGATGATGCTGGAGTGTTGGTGGTGATGATGGTGATGATGATGATTGATGGGTTGGTGTGTTGATGATGATGGTGGTGATGGCTAATGGTGGTGGTGATGGGATAATGGTGGTGGTGGTGGTGAGGGTGGTGGTGGTGGTGGGGGTGATGTGTGGTGATGGTGGTGGTGGTGGTGGTGGTGGTGGTGGTGGTGGTGATGGTGGTGGTGGTAGTGGTGATGGTGGTGGTGGGGTGGTGGTGGTGGTGGTGGTGATGATGATGATGCTGGGTTTGGTGGTGGTGGGTGGTGGTGGTGGTGGTGATGGGATCATGGTGGTGGTGGTGGTGCTGAGGGTGGTGGGGGTGGTGGTGGTGATGGTGAGGGTGGTGGTGGTGGTGGGTGGTCGTGGGTGGTGGTGGTGGTGGGGGTGGTGATGGTGGTGGTGGTGGTGCTGATGATGGTGGTGGTGGTCGTGGTGGTGGTGGTAGTGGTGGTGGTCGTGGTGGTGGTGGTGGTGGTGGTCATGGTGGTGGTGATGATGGTGGTGGTGGTGGTGATGGTGGTGGTCGTGGTGATGGTGGTGGGTGGTGATGGTGGTGGTGGTGGTGATGGTAGTGGTCGTGGTGGTGGTGGTCGTGATGATGGTGGTGATGGTGGATGATTGATGATATAGGATTGAATTATTGATGATGATGATGAGGTGTTGGTGGATAGAGTGGTATTGGTGGTGGTGACGGTGGCTGGTGATACTGTAGATTTGGTGGACTTAAGTCTCCACCTCTTCCACGTCTTCCATCATCATAACCATTACCACAACCATCATCTCAATCTCCACCTTCTCCACCTCCTCCTCCCTCCAGGTGCATTTACCTTCGTCTTCAAGATGTCCGAGGTATGGGCATTAGTGCTCGCCATTCTTCCTCCAGCCATCTACATCATCATCTGCTTCAAGACCAAGTCTAGCACACAGATCACAGTAAGACTCATCATCTGCATCACCACAACTATCGTCATCTACATCATCATCATCACAACCATTATCATCTACATCATCATCACAACCATCATCATCTACATCATCATCATCATCACAACCATCATCATCATCACAACCATCATCATGTACATCATCATCTGCTTCAAGACCAAGTCTAGCACACAGATAACAGTAAGACTCATCATCTGCATCATCAATCACAACCATCATCATCTGCATCATCATCACAACCATCATCATCTACCATCATCATCTACATCATCATCATCATCACAACCATCATCATCACAACCATCATCATCTACATCATCATCATCACAACCATCATCATCACAACCATCATCATCTACATCATCATCATCACAACCATCATCATCTACATCATCATCATCACAACCATCATCATCTACATCATCACAACCATCATCATCTACACCATCATCATCACAACCATCATTATCTACATCATCATCTGCTTCAAGACCAAGTCTAGCACACAGATCACAGGAAGACTCATCATCTGCATCATCATCACAACCATCATCATCTACATCATCATCATCACAACCATCATCATCTACATCATCATCACAACCATCATCATCACAACCATCGTCATCTACATCATCATCATCATCACCACCTTCATCATCTACATCATCATCATCACAACCATCATCATCACAACCATCATCATCTACATCATTATCTGCTTCAAGACCAAGTCTAGCACATAGATCACAGTAAGACTCATCATCTGCATCATCATCACAACCATCGTCATCTACATCATCATCATCACAACCATCATCATCTACATCATCATCATCACAACCATCATCATCTGCATCATCATCATCACAGCCATCATCATCATCATCACAACCATCATCATCTACATCATCATCATCACAACCATCATCATCACAACCATCATCATCTACATCATCATCTGCTTCAAGACCAAGTCTAGCACACAGATCACAGTAAGACTCATCATCTGCATCATCATCGCAACTATCATCATCTACATCATCATCATCATCACAACCATCATCATCTACATCATCATCACAACCATCATCATCACAACCATCATCATCATCACCTGTTACACTCCCCCCTGTCACACACACAGGGAGCGATGGTGATGAGTGTCTTCTACGTATTCCTGATGACTGGCACGCTACTGTCCATCGTGGGCGAGATGACGTTGTCATCATCATCACAACCATCATCATCACAACATCACAACCATCACCATCATCATCACCTGTTACACCCACCCTGTCACACACACACACAGGTAGCGATGGTGATGAGCGTCTTCTACGTATTCCTCATGACTGGCACGCTAATCTCCATCGTGGGCGAGATGATGTTGTCATCATCACAACCATCATCATCACAACCATCATCATCACAACCATCATCATCATCACCTGTTACACTCCTCCTGTCACACACACACACACAGGTCGCGATGGTGATGAGCGTCTTCTACGTATTCACTCATGACGGGCACGATAATCTCCATCGTGGGCGAGATGATGTTGTCATCATCATCACAACCATCATCATCACAACATCACAACCATCATCATCATCACCTGTTACACTCACCCTGTCACACACACACACATAGGTCGCGATGGTGATGAGCGTCTTCTACGTATTCCTCATGACTGGCACGATACTGTCCATCGTGGGCGAGATGATGTTGTCATCATCATCACAACCATCATCATCATCATCACAACATCACAACCATCATCACCTGTTACACCCACCCTGTCACACACACAGGTAGCGATGGTGATGAGCGTCTTCTACGTATTCCTGATGACTGGCACGCTACTGACCATCGTGGGCGAGATGATGTTGTCATCATCATCACAACCATCATCATCATCACAACATCACAACCATAATCATCATCATCATCACAACCACCATCATCATCATCACCTGTTACACTCACCCTGTCACACACACACACACACATAGGTCGCGATGGTGATGAGCGTCTTCTACGTATTCCTCATGACGGGCACTATACTGTCCATCGTGGGCGAGATGATGTTGTCATCACAACCATCATCATCACAACCATCATCATCATCACCTGTTACACCCACCCTGTCACACACACAGGTAACGATGGTGATGAGCGTCTTCTACGTATTCCTGATGACGGGCACGCTACTGTCCATCGTGGGCGAGATGATGTTGTCATCATCATCACAACCATCATCACAACCAACATCATCACAACCATCACCATCATCATCACCTGTTACACCCACCCTGTCACACACACACACAGGTAGCGATGGTGATGAGCGTCTTCTACGTATTCCTCATGACGGGCACGATACTGTCCATCGTGGGCGAGATGATGTTGTCATCATCATCACAACCATCATCATCATCACAACATCACAACCATCATCATCATCACCTGTTACACTCCCCCTGTCACACACACACAGGTAGCGATGGTGATGAGCGTCTTCTACGTATTCCTGATGACGGGCACGATAATCTCCATCGTGGGCGAGATGATGTTATCATCATCATCACAACCATCATCATCACAACCACCATCATCATCACCTGTTACACCCACCCTGTCACACACACACACAAACACAGGTCGCGATGGTGATGAGCGTCTTCTACTTATTCCTGATGACTGGCACGCTACTGTCCATCGTGGTGCGAGATGATGTTGTCATCATCACAACCATCATCATCACCTGCTACACCACCACCTCCACCCTGTCACACACACAGGTAGCGATGGTGATGAGCGTCTTCTACGTATTCCTCATGACTGGCACGCTAATCTCCATCGTGGGCGAGATTATCATCATCACAACCATCATCATCACAACCATAATCATCATCATCATCACAACCACCATCATCATCATCACCTGTTACACCCACCCTGTCACACACACACACACACATAGGTCGCGATGGTGATGAGCGTCTTCTACGTATTCACTCATGACGGGCACGATAATCTCCATCGTGGGCGAGATGATGTTATCATCATCATCACAACCATCATCATCACAACCATCATCATCATCACCTGTTACACCCACCCTGCCACACACACACCACAAACACAGGTCGCGATGGTGATGAAGCGTCTTCTACGTATTCCTCATGACGGGCACGATACTGTCCATCGTGGGCGAGATGATGTTGTCATCATCATCACAACCATCATCATCATCACAACATCACAACCATCATCATCATCATCACCTGCTACACCACCACCTCCACCCTGTCACACACACAGGTCGCGATGGTGATGAGCGTCTTCTACGTATTCCTCATGACGGGCACGATACTGTCCATCGTGGACGAGATGACGTTGTCATCATCACAACCATCATCATCACAACCATCATCATCATCATCACCTGTTACACCCACCCTGTCACACACACACACACACTAGGTCGCGATGTGATGAGCGTCTTCTACGTATTCCTCATGACTGGCACGATACTGTCCATCGTGGGCGAGATGATGTTGTCATCATCACAACCATCATCATCACAACCATCATCATCACAACCATCATCATCATCACCTGTTACACTCCCCCTGTCACACACACAGGTAGCGATGGTGATGAGCGTCTTCTACGTATTCCTCATGACTGGCACGATACTGTCCATCGTGGGCGAGATGATGTTGTCATCATCACAACCATCATCATCATCACCTGCTACAACCACCACCTCCACCCTGTCACACACACAGGTAGCGATGGTGATGAGCGTCTTCTACGTATTCCTCATGACTGGCACGCTAATCTCCATCGTGGGCGAGATTATCATCATCACAACCATCATCATCACAACCATCATCATCATCATCACAACATCACAACCATCATCATCATCATCACCTGTTACACTCACCCTGTCACACACACACACACACATAGGTCGCGATGGTGATGAGCGTCTTCTACTTATTCCTGATGACTGGCACGCTACTGTCCATCGTGGTGCGAGATGATGTTGTCATCATCACAACCATCATCATCATCACCTGCTACACCACCACCTCCACCCTGTCACACACACAGGTAGCGATGGTGATGAGCGTCTTCTACGTATTCCTCATGACGGGCACGATACTGTCCATCGTGGGCGAGATGATGTTGTCATCATCATCACAACCATCATCATCACAACCACCACCATCATCATCACCTGTTTACACTCACCCTGTCACACACACACACACACATAGGTCGCGATGGTGATGAGCGTCTTCTACGTATTCCTCATGACGGCACGATACTGTCCATCGTGGGCGAGATGATGTTGTCATCATCATCACAACCATCATCATCACAACATCACAACCATCATCATCATCACCTGTTACACTCCCCCTGTCACACACACACACAGGTCGCGATGGTGATGAGCGTCTTCTACAGTATTCCTCATGACTGGCACGATACTGTCCATCGTGGGCGAGATGATGTTGGCATCATCACAACCATCATCATCATCACCTGCTACACCACCACCTCCACCCTGTCACACACACAGGTAGCGATGGTGATGAGCGTCTTCTACGTATTCCTCATGACTGGCACGCTAATCTCCATCGTGGGCGAGATTATCATCATCACAACCATCATCATCACAACCATCATCATCACAACCATCATCATCACAACCACCATCATCATCACCTGTTACACCCACCCTGTCACACACACACACACAAACACAGGTCGCGATGGTGATGAGCGTCTTCTACGTATTCCTCATGACGGGCACGATACTGTCCATCGTGGGCGAGATGACGTTATCATCACAACCATCATCATCACAACCATCATCATCATCACAACATCACAACCACCATCATCATCACCTGTTACACCCACCCTGTCACACACACACACACATAGGTCGCGATGGTGATGAGCGTCTTCTACGTATTCCTCATGACGGGCACGCTAATCTCCATCGTGGGCGAGATTATCATCATCACAACCATCATCATCACAACCATCATCATCACAACCATCATCATCACAACCACCATCATCATCACCTGTTACACCCACCCTGTCACACACACACACATAGGTCGCGATGGTGATGAGCATCTTCTACGTATTCCTCATGACTGGCACGATACTGTCCATCGTGGGCGAGATGACGTTATCATCACAACCATCATCATCACAACCACCATCATCATCACCTGTTACACTCACCCTGTCACACACACACATAGGTCGCGATGGTGATGAGCGTCTTCTACGTATTCCTGATGACGGGCACGCTAATCTCCATCGTGGGCGAGATGATGTTGTCATCATCACAACCATCATCATCATCACCTGCTACACCACCACCTCCACCCTGTCACACACACAGGTCGCGATGGTGATTGAGCGTCTTCTACGTATTCCTCATGACGGGCACGATACTGTCCATCGTGGGCGAGATGACGTTGTACGGGGTCGTGACTCCGACGGGGATCTTCATCGTCACCATCACCCTGGTGCACGTGCTAGCTGCGCTGATTCACCCGCGGGAGATCCTGTGCCTGGTCCACGGATTCATGTACACGATCTGCATCCCACGGGCTAACCTCCTGCTGATGATCTACACGCTGGTGAACATGTATGACATCTCGTGGGGTACACGAGAAGCGGCGCCCGCGGTGAAGGAGGAGGAGGAGGAGAAGGAGGAGGAGGAGATGGTGAAGAAGGTGGTGAGAGAGAAGGAGGAGGTGAGAGGATGGCTACGTTATGCACTACATTATACACTACGTTATACACTACATTATACACTACGTTATACACTACTACACTACATTATACACTACTACACTACATTATACACTACGTTATACACTACGTTATACACTACTACACTACATTATACACTACACTATAAACTACATTATACACTACTACACTACATTATACACTACGTTATACACTACTACACTACATTATACACTACATTATACACTACATTATACACTACTACACTACATTATACACTACACTATACACTACATTATACACTACTTTATACACTACTACACTACATTATACACTACATTATACACTAAATTATACACTACATTATACACTACATTATACACTACTTTATACACTATACACTACTACACTACATTATACACTACTTTATACACATTATACACTACGTTATACACTACGTTATACACTACTATACTACATTATACACTACTACACTACACTATACACTACATTATACACTACATTATACACTACTTTATACACTACTACACTACATTATACACTACATATACACTACATTATACACTACATTATACACTATATTATACACTACTACACTACTTTATACACTACATTATATACTACACTATACACTACTTTATACACTACTAGACTACATTATACACTACATTATACACTACACTATACACTACATTATACACTACATTATACACTACATTATACACTATATTATACACTACTACTACACTACTTTATACACTACATTATATACTACACTATACACTACTTTATACACTACTAGACTACATTATACACTACATTATACACTACACTATACACTACATTATACACTACATTATACACTACATTATACACTACTACTACACTACATTATACACTACTACTACACTACATTATACACTAAATTATACACTACATTATACGTTACTTTATACACTATACACTACTACACTACATTATACACTACTTTATACACTACATTATACACTACATTATACACTACTTTATACACTACTACACTACATTATACACTACATTATACACTACATTATACACTACTTTAAACACTATACACTACTACACTACATTATACACTACTTTATACACTACATTATACACTACATTATACACTACATTATACACTACTACACTACATTATACACTACTACTACACTACATTATACACTACATTATACACTGCATTATACACTACTAATACACTACATTATACACTACGTTATACACTACATTATACACTACTACTACACTACATTATACACTACATTATACACTACTACTACACTACATTATACACTACTACTACACTACATTATACACTACTACTACACTACATTATACACTACTACTACACTACATTATACACTACTACTACACTACGTTATACACTACTACTACACTACATTATACACTACTACTACACTGCATTATACACTACATTATACACGACACTATACACTGCACTATACACTACTACTACACTACATTATACACTACATTATACACTACATTATACACTACTATACTACTACACTACATTATACACTGCTACACTACATTATACACTACATTATATACTACTACACTACATTATACACTACATTATACACTACATTATAAACTACTACACTACATTATACAGTACATTATACACTACATTATGCACTACTACTACACTACATTATACACTACATTATACACTACTACACTACATTATACACTACATTATACACTACTACACTATACACTACTACACTACATTATACACTACTACACTACACTACTACACTACATTATACACTACTACACTACATTATACACTACATTATACACTACTACACTACATTATACACTACTACACTATACACTACTACACTACACTATACACTACTACACTAATACACTACACTATACACTACTACACTGTACACTACTACACTATACACTACTACACTATACACTACATTATACACTACTACACTATACACTACTACACTACACTATACACTACTACACTATACACTACTACACTATACACTACTACACTATACACTACTACACACTACTACACTATACACTACTATACACTACTACACTACTACACTATACACTACTACACTATACACTACTACACTACTACACTACACTATACACCACTGCTATACACTACACTATACACTACTACACTATACACTACTACACTATACACTACTACACTACACTATACACTACTACACTATACACTACTATACACTACTACACTACTACACTATACACTACTACACTATACACTACTACACTACACTATGCACTACTACACTAAACACTACTACACACTACTACACTACACTACCATACTATACACTACTACACTACTATACACTACTATACACTACTACACACTACTACACACTACTACACTACACTATACACTACTACACTACACTATACACTACTACACTACACTACTACTAAACACTACTACACTACACTATACACTACTACACTATACACTACTACACTACACTATACACTACTACTACACTACTACACTACACTATACACTACTACACACTACTACACTACACTATACACTACTACTACTACACTATTACACTATACACTACACACTACTACACTACACTATACACTACTACACTATACACTACTACACTATACACTACTACACTACTACACTACACTATACACTACTACACTACACTATACACTAAACACTACTACACTACACTACTACACTACACTATACACTACTACACTACACTATACACTAAACACTACTACACTACACTATACACTACTACACTATACACTACTACACTACACTATACACTACACTACACTATACACTACTACACTATACACTACTACTACACTACTACACTACACTATACACTACACTATACACTACTACACTACTACACTACACTATACACTACTACACTACTACACTACACTATACACTACTACTACACTACTACACTACACTATACACTACTAAACCACACTATACACTACTACACTACTACACTACACTATACACTACTACACTACACTACTACACTACACTACACACTACTACACTATACACTACTACACTATACACTACTACTACTACACTACTACACTACACTATACACTACTACACTATACACCACTACTACACTACTACACTACACTATACACCACACTATACACCACTACTACACTACACTATACACTACTACTACTACACTACTACACTACACTATACACTACTACACTATACACTACTACACTATACACTACTACTACACTACTACACTACACTATACACTACTACACTATACACTACTACACTATACACTACTACTACACTACACTATACACTACTACACTATACACTACTACACTACACTATACACTACTACACTATACACTACTACACTACACTATACACTACTACTACACTACTACACTACACTATACACTACTACACTACTACACTATACACTACTACTACACTACTACACTACACTATACACTACTACACTACTACACTATACACTACTACTACACTACTACACTACACTATACACTACTACACTACTACACTATACACTACACTACTACACTACTACACTACACTATACACTACTACACTACTACACTACACTATACACTACTACTACACTACGTTATAGACTACCAGGTACATTACACTATACACTACTACTACACTACACTATACACTACTACTACTACACTACACTATACACTACTACACTATACACTACTACACTACTACTACACTACTACACTACACTATACACTACTACACTATACACTACTACACTACTACACTACACTATACACTACTACACTATACACTACTACACTATACACTACTACACTACACTATACACTACTACACTATACACTACTACACTACACTACTACACTACTACACTACACTATACACTACTACACTACTACACTACACTATACACTACTACTACACTACTACACTATACACACTACTACACTACTACACTACACTATACACTACTACACTATACACTATACACTACTACACTACACTATACACTACTACACTACTACACTACACTATACACTACTACTACACTACTACACTATACACACTACTACACTACTACACTACACTATACACTACTACACTATACACTACTACTACACTACTACACTACACTATACACTACTACACTACACTACTACTACACTACTACTACACTACACTATACACTACTACACTACACTACTACACTACACTATACACTACTACACTACACTATACACTACTACACTACACTATACACTACTACACTACACTATACACTACACACTACACTATACACTACTACACTACACTATACACTACTACTACACTATACACTACTACACTACACTATACACTACTACACTATACACTATACACTACTACACTACTACACTACTACACTACACTATACACTATACACTACTACACTACACTATACACTACTACTACACTACTACACTACACTATACACTACTACTACACTATACACTACTACACTACACTATACACTACTACACTACACTACTACACTATACACTACTACACTATACACTACACTACTACTACACTACTACACTACACTATACACTACTACACTATACACTACTACACTATACACTACACTACTACTACACTACTACACTACACTATACACTACTACACTATACACTACTACACTCCACTATACACTGCTACACTACACTATGCACTACTACACTATACACTACTACACTACACTATACACTACTACTACACTACTACACTACACTATACACTACTACACTACTACACTACACTATACACTACTACACTATACACTACTACACTATACACTAATACACTATACACTACTACACTATACACTACACTATACACTACTACACTACACTATACACTACTACACTACTACTACACTACTACACTACACTACACACTACTACACTACTACACTACACTATACACTACTACACTATACACTACTACACTACACTATACACTACTACACTACTACACTACACTATACACTACTACTACACTACTACACTACACTATACACTACTACACTATACACTACTACATTATACACTACTACACTACACTATACACTACTACACTATACACTACTACATTATACACTACTACACTACACTATACACTACTACACTATACACTACTACACTATACACTACTACACTACTACTACACTACTACACTACACTATACACTACACTATACACTACTACACTATACACTACTACACTACACTATACACTACACTATACACTACTACACTACACTATACACTACTACACTACTACACTACACTATACACTACTACACTACACTACACTACTACTACACTACTACACTACACTATACACTACTACACTATACACTACACTATACACTACACTACTACACTACACTATACACTACTACACTATACACTACTACACTATACACTACTACACTATACACTACTACACTATACACTACTACACTATACACTACTACACTATACACTACTACACTATACACTACACACTACTACACTACTACACTACACTATACACTACTACACTACTACACTACACTATACACTACTACACACTACTACACTACTACACTACTACACTACACTATACACTACTACACTACACTATACACTACACCTCTTCGCCCCCACAGACTGCCAGCGGCTGTCGCTGTTGCTGGCGGCTACCCCTCGAGTGGATTTGCTGTTGGCGCTGGAGGATTTCGCTGAGCCCCAGGGGCTACGAAGCCATCGACACTCACAGCGACGATGTTCCAACTCATCCTCCAACTCCTCATCCTCCAACTCATCCTCCAACTCATCCTCCAACTCCAACTCATCCTCCTCCTCCAACTCATCCTCCTCCTCCAACTCATCCTCCTCCTCCAACTCATCCTCCAACTCATCCTCCTCCTCCAACTCATCCTTCTCGGCAGCAGCGGCAGCAGCGGCAGAGGAAGAAGAAGGAGGAGAGGTGATGGCCCTGGTCATCATCGTCGCTGTAGTGTAGTGTAGTAGTGTATAGTGTAGTGTAGTAGTGTATAGTGTAGTAGTGTGTAGTGTAGTAGTGTATAGTGTAGTAGTGTATAGTGTAGTAGTGTAGTGTAGTAGTGTATAGTGTAGTGTAGTAGTGTAGTAGTGTGTAGTGTAGTGTAGTAGTTTATAGTGTATAGTGTATTGTATAGTGTAGTGGTGTAGTGTAGTAGTGTATAGTGTGTAGTGTAATAGTGTATAGTGTAGTAGTGTATAGTGTAGTAGTGTATAGTGTAGTAGTGTATAGTGTAGTAGTGTATAGTGTAGTAGTGTAGTGTAGTAGTGTATAGTGTAGTAGTGTATAGTGTAGTGTAGTAGTGTAGTAGTGTGTAGTGTAGTGTAGTGTAGTAGTTTATAGTGTATAGTGTATTGTATAGTGTAGTGGTGTAGTGTAGTAGTGTATAGTATGTAGTGTAATAGTGTATAGTGTAGTAGTGTATAGTGTAGTAGTGTATAGTGTAGTAGTGTATAGTGTAGTAGTGTGTAGTGTAGTGTAGTAGTGTATAGTGTATAGTGTAGTAGTGTATAGTGTAATAGTATATAGTGTAGTAGTGTATAGTGTAGTAGTGTGTAGTGTAGTAGTGTATAGTGTAGTAGTGTATAGTGTAGTAGTGTATAGTGTAGTAGTGTATAGTGTAGTGTATAGTGTAGTGTAGTGTGTAGTGTAGTAGTGTATAGTGTAGTAGTGTATAGTGTAGTGTAGTAGTGTATAGTGTAGTGTAGTAGTGTATAGTGTAGTAGTGTATGGTGTAGTAGTGTATAGTGTAGTAGTGTATAGTGTAGTAGTGTATAGTGTAGTGTAGTGTGTAGTGTAGTGTAGTGTAGTAGTGTATAGTGTAGTAGTGTATAGTGTAGTGTAGTAGTGTATAGTGTAGTGTAGTAGTGTGTAGTGTAGTAGTGTATAGTGTAGTGTAGTAGTGTAGTGTAGTAGTGTGTAGTGTAGTAGTGTATAGTGTAGTAGTATATAGTGTAGTAGTGTATAGTGTAGTGTATAGTGTAGTAGTGTATAGTGTAGTAGTGTATAGTGTAGTAGTGTATAGTGTAGTAGTGTATAGTGTAGTAGTGTAGTGTAGTAGTGTATAGTGTAGTGTATTAGTGTATAGTGTAGTGTAGTAGTGTATAGTGTAGTAGTGTATAGTGTAGTAGTGTATAGTGTAGTAGTGTATAGTGTCGTAGTGTATAGTGTAGTAGTGTATAGTGTAGTGTAGTAGTGTATAGTTTAGTGTAGTAGTGTATAGTGTAGTGTAGTAGTGTATAGTGTAGTAGTGTATAGTGTAGTAGTGTATAGTGTAGTAGTGTATAGTGTAGTCGTGTATAGTGTAGTAGTGTCTAGTGTAGTAGTGTATAGTGTAGTAGTGTATAGTGTAGTAGTGTATAGTGTAGTGTAGTAGTGTATAGTGTATTGTAGTAGTGTATAGTGTATTGTAGTAGTGTATAGTGTAGTAGTGTATAGTGTAGTGTAGTAGTGTGTAGTGTATAATATAGTAGTGTATAGTGTAGTAGTGTGTAGTGTAGTAGTGTATAGTGTAGTAGTGAATAGTTTAGTAGTGTCTAGTGTAGTAGTGTAGTAGTGTATAGTGTAGTGTAGTAGTGTGTAGTGTATAATGTAGTAGTGTATAGTGTAGTAGTGTATAGTGTTTAGTGTATAGTGTATTAGTGTATAGTGTAGTAGTGTATAGTGTAGTAGTGTGTAGTGTAGTGTAGTAGTGTATAGTGTAGTGTATAGTGTAGTAGTGTATAGTGTAGTAGTGTATAGTGTAGTAGTGTAGTGTATAGTGTAGTAGTGTATAGTGTAGTAGTGTATAGTGTAGTAGTGTATAGTGTAGTGTCTAGTGTAGTAGTGTATAGTGTAGTAGTGTATAGTGTAGTAGTGTATAGTGTAGGGTATAGTGTAGTAGTGTATAGTAGTAGTGTATAGTGTAGTAGTATATAATGTAGTAGTGTATAGTGTAGTAGTGTAGTGTATAGTGTACTGTAGTAGTGTATAGTGTAGTAGTGTATAGTGTAGTAGTGTATAGTGTAGTGTAGTAGTGTAGTAGTGTATAGTGTAGTGTAGTAGTGTATAGTGTAGTAGTGTATAGTGTAGTGTATTAGTGTATAGTGTAGTTGTGTATAGTGTAGTAGTGTATAGTGTAGTAGTGTATAGTGTAGTAGTCTATAGTGTAGTAGTGTAGTAGTGTATAGTGTAGTTTAGTAGTATAGTAGTGTATAGTGTAGTGTACTAGTGTATAGTGTAGTGTAGTAGTGTATAGTATAGTAGTGTATAGTGTATTAGTGTATAATGTATAGTGTAGTAGTGTATAGTGTAGTGTAGTAGTGTATAATGTAGTGTATAGTGTAGTGTATAATGTAATGTATAGTGTAGTGTATAATGTGGTGTATAATGTAGTGTATAGTGTAGTGTATAATGTAGTGTATAGTGTATTGTATAGTGTAGTGTATAATGTAGTGTATAGTGTAGTGTTTAATGTAGTGTATAATGTATTGTATAGTGTAGTGTATAGTGTAGTGTATATTGTAGTGTATAGTGTAGTAGTGTATAGTGTAGTAGTGTATAGTGTAGTAGTGTATAGTGTAGTAGTGTGTAGTGTAGTAGTGTATAGTGTAGTAGTGTATAGTGTAGTAGTGTATAGTGTAGTAGTGTATAGTGTAGTGTATAGTGTAGTAGTGTATAGTGTAGTAGTGTATAGTGTAGTAGTGTATAGTGTAGTAGTGTATAGTGTAGTGTATAGTGTAGTAGTGTATAGTGTAGTGTATAGTGTAGTAGTGTATAGTGTAGTAGTGTATAGTGTAGTAGTGTATAGTGTAGTAGTGTATAGTGTAGTAGTGTATAGTGTAGTAGTGTATAGTGTAGTAGTGTATAGTGTAGTGTACTAGTGTATAGTGTAGTAGTGTATAGTGTAGTAGTGTATAGTGTAGTAGTGTATAGTGTAGTAGTGTATAGTGTAGTGTATAGTGTAGTGTATAGTGTAGTGTATAGTGTAGTGTATAGTGTAATGTAGTGATGTATAATAATTGAGTGGTTTCTGCTCTGTAGATCTCCGACTTGGCTGAGGCAGGAGAAGCAAATTGGTGAGGACGTTCAAATATCATCAGCATCATCATCATCAGCAGCATGATCAGCATCGTCAGCAGCATCATCAGCATCGTCACTACCATCATCAGCATCATCATCATCAGCAGCACCAGCATCATCATCATCAGCAGCAACATTATTATTAGCATCATCATCAGCAGCATCATCATCAGCAGCATCATCATCACCATCAGCAGCATCATCATCAGAGGCATCATCATCAGCATCATCATCAGCATCATCATCAGCATCATCATCAGCAGCAGCAGCATCATCATCACCATCATCATCATATTCATCATCACATTCATCATCACCATCATCATCACCATCTCATCATCACATGCATCATCATCACCATCTTATTCATCAACATCATCATCACCACCATCATCACCACCATCATCCCCATCGCCACTATCAACATCATCATCACCATCA